GCACATGGAATGATGCAACATCCACAGAGAGCTACAGCAATCATTAGACCTGCTAGTGTGGGCATCACTAAGGCCTTTTATTTAGCAAACACAGAATCTGACCGGTCGAACATGTTAGTGTCCACTTCAGAGTTCTCTGCAAGTTCTTCTCGTAGGGAACGCAGTCCTTCCAGCACTCAGTTCACCGAACCATCTGGAGCTGTATTGTTGGGCACAAACATACAGCAGGAGTTATTAAACATTAGCCCAGCATCCCAGCCTCTTTGGGTGCTTCTCTTGCCTCCAACACTGCTATTTGATGTCAATGCCTGTAGTTCACTGTGGTGTTCTGTCGTGGTGGCTTTTGTGCATCACGCTTGTGATCTAAGAACTGCAACAGAGGCACTGTTCATGCTGTTGCAATGGCAGCAAACATCTCTGTTGCTCCTCGTAGGCCACACATGTCTGGGTGTCTGACTGGGTCCCATGACGTCTCCTTCCAGAGACAACCATGCTACCCACTCTTCATTTTTTGCGGCGTCACTTAAATCAGCAGTGGTGAGACCAGGAGTTTTCCCACTAGCTCCCTTGTGCTGATGTTTGCTGTCTAACAGCCTGTGAGTCCGAGACAAAGGGAGCCTAAGCGTTCCCAATCCCTCCTTCACTCACAACACGAGGTGCTGATTGTGCACGCTTGTTGATCTATTGTTGTACTGGTGCAGGCTCCTTCCTGCAGTGGCTGGCGTGAATCCACGTAGCTCTTTCAGCCACTTTTACCGCTGTGTATGTTGTCAGGAGCAGCTTTCCACCTCTGCGCTTTCCAGTGCTTTCTTCTGAAGTCCTTAACCACCACAAAAGGAGACTCTAGGAGACTGTGCAGTGGTTCTGTCGCTGGAGAGGGTAGGGCCTCTTTAACCTGCTGATGTAGACGGGCAAGAGCAGAGGACAAAGTCATTCAATCATTCTCACAGTGATGTGTGTCAGGCGGTACTCTGCTCGCTGCCTCTATCCCTGTTCGTGGAGGGCGCCCAAAAAGAATCTCAAACGGGCTCAAACCTGACCTAGTTCTTACCCTCGTTCTCATGTACATCAACACCAACGGCAACGCCTTTGTCCATGGAAGACCTGTGTCTTCACAACATTTAGCTAGCTTAGCTTTTAATGTTCCATTCTCTTTTTCTACTGCTCCACCGCTCGCTGGGTGGAAGGAACAATGTTGTCTCAAATCAATGCCCATATAAGAGCCAAGTGGTTTGATGGCTTCACTTACAAAAGGTGTGCCGTTGTCACTGCTGATTTTAGAAGGCACGCCCCAGCGCGGCAAGATCTCAGAAATCAGGGCTTTAGCTCCAGCTGCACCGTCTTGTTTTGAAGTTGGAAAAACCTCCATCCATTTGGAAAACATATCAACTATGACCAAACAGAACCTTTTGCCTTGACTCGGGTTAAGCTCAAAAAGTCCATCATCAGGTGATCAGATGGTTTATCTGGCGTTGGGTGTGCCGCTAAGGGAACCCTCAATCCTCTCCCTGTGTTGTGTGTTAGGCAGATTGAGCACGTTTGGCAAAAGTTGTGAGCGTATGTTGTGAAAGCTTTCATGAACCAGTGTTGCTTTAGTTGATCGAACATCCCTCCCTTTGACACATGATGCAACCCATGTGTCAATTTAGCGTAATGTGGAAAACAATGTTTGGGTCAACATGGTTTGTCATTGGGACCAGTCCACAATCCATCAGCATATTTACAACCAGCCTGTTGCCATGTGCGCTTCTCATCTGATGGAGCAAACTGTTGCATAGCATGCAATGTCAGAGGAATATCTGTGTCTGTGTCTGCGTGCAGGGGTGTGTGTGTGTGTCAGGCCCTGTTGAGCTGCGGTGCGGGCAGCTGCATCAGCTTTGGCGTTACCTGTAGAAACAAAGTCTTTTGCATCAGTATGGGCATTTGCATACAGAAATAGCAGACGGCAACATCACTGCTTCAAGCAATGCAGCTATTTTATCATGATGCAGAATAGGCTTACCATCAGATTTTAATGCACGGTTGCAAATGCATATTGAGAATCTGTGTAAATAGTTACTGATTTGTCTTTGGCCAGTTTACAAGCTTCAGTGAGTGCAACCAACTCAGCTGCTTGAGCTGAATAATGAGATGGCAAGGGGCCAGATTTCAGTGTCTCGTGCTGACAACTTGATTTTTTCCTGTGTTAACATTGCGTGAAGCAGACCCGTCATCAAAGAGAATCAGGTCTGGGTTAGTTAGAGGTGTTTCAGACAGATCTGGACGTGGAGTGCAAACCTGCTCAAGCACAGCAACACAGTTATGATCTTCTCCATCTCCTGGAATGGGGAGCAAAGTTGCAGGATTTAACATTACACAACAACATTACAGCGTTTGACAGCGATGTTAGGCATATCCAATAGAACAGTGGTGTATCGGAGCCAACGTGCTGTGGAGAGATGAGAGGTCTTCTGTTCAAGCAAGATCATAGAAACCGCATGAGGGACCAAAGGGTTAAATCAGAATAACCAACAATGTGACGTGATGCCATGACAACGTGGTGACCCTGCAGCCACTGGATCCAGTTTTGCTGAAAGAAAAAGCGACTGGTCTCAGTCTGTCACCATGTTTCTGTAGTAACACTGATGTCTGTCCATTTTGGAAACATGTCAACTATCAT